GCCCGCCCCCCCCCCCCCCGTGCTTGTGTGTGTTGCTAGAAGAACCAGCAAACTACCTCACAACCATCAGCTGAACAAACTGTCAATTTAATTTGTCTGCGTCCCATCTGCTAGCCACAGAGACGACTTGGCAAGACTCCTGGACAGCTGATGATGAACGTGTCAAATCTCCTCACTCCAGCATGGTGACCACTAGCTTTATGCAGTTACTAGAGTACATTCAGTTTGGCTACACAACTGAACTGTCAGCTTTATAGAAAATGCTTAACAATTTACATTTCAGCTGCCATATGTGACATCTAAGAACTCTATTAGATGGATCAGCCATACTATTTCCAAAAGAAAGCCAGAAATGAAGATTTCCACATCAATGTTTCTGCTAATCCCTAAGTACTTTGAAAACACTCTCATTTATCCCAGTGACTAAATATTCCATCAGCCACCAAAACTGAATTGTTGCCAGTTGTAGAGCATGGTAGCCAACCTTTAATCCTAGCATTCTGATGGGGAGGGGAATTCTGTGGGTTGAAGGCCATTGTGGTCTACATAACAAATTCCAGCCCAGACTACATAGTGAGACCCTTCCCAAAACAAGACAAACAACAACAAAACCCTGCTAAAATTAGGAAAAAAGAATGGGATCCTTCTGGAGACTGGGGAGAGCATCAGGAAGCAGCCACTGCCCTGGTTACAGTAGCCCAGGAGAAGGCCCTAGACATTCTGAATGGATATTCTTTTTATTGAGATATGAGTGTCATGGTGCTAAGGCAGAATCCACCAGGAAGATGACCTCATTTTAATCTGCAATATTTTCTTTACTTCCTTTCCTTGGTTTATAAGTGATTTTTGATGCCTTCATTTTTTTCCTTCAAACTTCCTCCCATTTCCTTTAAGCAGGCATGACTTCCTAGCCCGAAAAAGAGTGCTTAGTATGCAGGAAAAGCCCATGAAGCCTCAACCTTACACAAAGAACGATAGCAACTAAGCAAAGCTGGGAGCAGGAGAGGTGGCCCTCCAGGGAAGAGTATACCAATTAATTGGTTGGTTATCCAGTGCCAAATGGTCAGCCCTAAACATACATACAAGTAACATTATAGGGCATACATACAAGTAACATTATAGGGACTCAACAGGTTATATTTAGGAATATATATGTATATACAAATACACATATGCATGAAGTAACAATTAGTGAAAACAGGCCATGTATTTGAAGGAGAGCAGGAAAGATTATATGGGAGGCATGAGGGATGCGGGATAAGGGAGAAATGCTGTCATTGCAATCTTAAAAAAAAAAAGCTGTGTGTGTGTGTGTGATGGAGTAGGAGGAGACTCACTGGTGGTAAGAGTGGCATCTCTGTGCCAACACTTCCCAAATCCTCTGGTGTTGTCCTCTCTGGGTTATAGAATGGAGTATGTGCATCTCACACAGGAAGGGTCAGTAAGGTCCTAGGCAGTTCAAGGTTGGGATGTATGTATCTGCACAGATACATTCGAGCAGACACTGAATTGACACAGCATTCCACATTCACTGTGGGTCTCAAGGAAAAAGCCTCAAAAGCAGCTGGCTGAGGGGTAGGCCTACTGATTATGGCTGCTTTGTGGCAAAAGCTAATTAGGATTCTTGCCAGGTTAGCAATTCACTGC